GAAAGACATGGACCTGTTGGAGCAAGTCCAGAGGAGGGCCATGAAGGTGGTCAGAAGGCTGGAGCACCTCTCATATGAGGACAGGCTGAGAGAGCTGGGGTTGTTCAGCCTGGAGAAGAGAAGGCTCTGTGGAGACTGAAGAGCATCCTTCCAGTACCTGAAGGGGGCCTACAGGAGAGATGGGGAGGCACTCTTTATCAGGGGGCGTAGTGATAGTATGAGGGTAACGGTTTCAAGCTGAAATAAGGTAGATTTAGATTAGATATTAGGAAGAATTTTTTTCGCTGTGAGGGTGGTGAGGCACTGGAACAGGTTGCCCAGAGAAGCTGTGGATGCCCCATCCCTGGAGGTGTTCAAGGCCAGGCTGGATGAGGCTTTGAGCAACCTGGGCTAGTGGGAGGTGTCCCTGCCCATGGCAGGGGGGTTGGAACTCGATGGTCTTTAAGGTCCTTTCCAACCCAACCCATTCTATGGGTTGGAGATGCCCATTTTATTGTAGCAATTCTTAACATCTCATGTGCACTTAAAAACAGGGACATTATTTTGTAAGGTTTTATTTAAAGATAGAGGGAGAGTAAATAAAAATAGATCTGTTCTGTTTAAATGATGCTTTCCTTGTCTGTATAAAGAGTGAAAAAATGCTTTTCTAAATGCTTTTGAGTCTTTACTATGTTTGTTATGGAGTGGGTGGTACTTCATTTCAAGAGTTGTTATAATATTACAGCAGACTCTTTCAGTACAATACACTAGCTGTCCATAATGCTCTTAAGGGTTTTTTAAAAGTGCCATTATAGTTGTAAGAACATGGAGTTACAGCACCCACAGTTTTCTCTTCCAGCTGAAATTCTACCTCCTGCCCCCCATTTGGTACATGCTTGTGGAGGGCTCTTGAACTGTAGCTATTAACAGTGATTTAGTTCTTTCTACAGGCAGAGAGTCTAATCTTTGGGGATGATTTTTTGGGGATAATCTGATTTAGGTGTTCCTGCTCTGGCAGGGGGATTGGACAAGATGATATTTCGAGGTCCCTTCCAATCTCTAACATTCTGTTATTCTGATTCTGTGAAAGTATTTTGTGTGTCAAGAAGTGGATTGCTCCCTTTAAAGAAAAAAAAAAAATTTAAAAAATCACAGTTTAATCTAGGTGCAGCCAGTATTGATGTAGAAGGACTAGTGTGCAGCTAAGATTCTTGTCTTGAAAATGAAACTTTAAATTGATGCAAACTTGACTAGATGTGTCCAAAAATATTTTCACAACCTGAAAATTAAAAAACAAAACAAAAACAAAACAAAACCCCCCCCACTAACTTGAAGAAAAAGTCTTATGAGAAGCCTAGAAGGATTGTCATCCTTACTCTCTTGGGCATGTTCACATAAGCAGTAGGCTTTTTGGTAATACTGATCTAAAGCTGATGACATTATTCGCATGGGTGTCTTTAATACTAGTTCATCACAATTTTTGCCTTGAATTACAAAGATAGCCTTAACATTTGAACCTTATGCAGAGCCAGGGGTGCACATGTAGAGGAAAGATCCTCCATAGACATGAAGTCAACTTTACCCCAAGAAGAAAGGTGGACCAAGTTTCAAAGTAGTTCTTTTCTATTAGATTGTACATGGTATAGTGCTAAGGCATTGCCTTAGTGCCTTAGTCAGATATCATTTAGAGACATAATGTCTCTTTGCTGATTGATTGCATTTGTGGTCTTCAGATTTTATAAGTTGTCATTAACTAAAAATATATACTAACTTATGTTTTGTTTGGGTTTTTTTTGTTTGTTCAGGTTTACCAAAAATGCAAGTAATTCGAAACTACAGTGGAATACCACAGCCAGTGACACAAGATGGTCCACCACTGCATATCCAGATTGGGGACACTATTGAACTAATTAGAGGAGATGCACATAGCTTATTTTGGCAGGTATTGTATAATTTAGCGAGTGAGTATGTTCTGTTAGTCCCAGATGATAAATTCTTATTGATATATTGCTCTTGTAACTTTTTTCCTTTTGGAACAGCATAAGAATGTCTCTGTGTTTTACCCAAAATAAATGTCTTATAGAACCATTTTTATTTTTATAGTGCCAGTAGTTCCTATACTGTGTAAAGCTTCATTTTGCAGCCTTAGAGTAACAGTTCTGGTAAATAAATCTGCAAGAAGATGACATTGGTAGCAGTCCTTCTAGTGAAATTACAGGGTTTAAGGAGATAGTTTGGCACATAGACAGCAAAATCCTGTGAATTTTCAGTCACTGCTTCTCCAGCATAGCAGAACTAAAAGGTGGATTGGCAAAAAGCAGTTATAAATATTAGGTTTTTAGGGGAGAGAAATAGCTCTGCAAAACAGAACCTCACCTAAACTCCTTGATGCCCTTTCAAGTCAGTTAAGGACAGTTCTTTTATGTACATGGGAAAAGTATATTCTATTGACGGCAAGATTCAGTATCACATGGTTCGCATCACTACTAGTGTTACTGAAATTTCTTTTTTTAATTGAGAACTATAAATAGATTCAAAATGCCATCTTGCATTTACTTTAAAGATAAATGCATTAAAGCATGTCTCATTTTTTCTGGATGCTTTTCTTAATTTTTTGTCTTAGAATCCTACATACTACTGCTATTATTGGATAAATGGGAATAGAGCTAACTAGAAGAACTTTCAGGATAATAATAGAACAACAGCTGGGAAGCATCTGTTGTTATCTTGAAATGTTGTTCCTGTGTTTGTCTTCGTGATTTTCTTTGAGTCTCTAATCAGTTAATGAATATAATTACAGAAACTGTTTGGTCTGTTACGTGAGTTAGGTCATACCGGGGTTTTTTTTCTAGCTTCACTTAGGACTGAATCTTCTTCAAACTCTTCAGGACAGAATCGGTGAACTCTGTTCCTATGCCACTGCATCATCCTGAACAACATTTAACTGATGGAAGTAGTAAACAATAGAATTGCTTTATCTATTAAAAAATATGTAAATAACTGTACCACCCACCCTCTCCCAAAAAACCCCCAACAAACAAACAACCGCTCCTCACCGCTCCCCCCCACACCTGTTATTTAGCAGACTATATATATATTTCACATCACTAAAAATAAGTTTTTCTGAATGTTGTTTGGCAGATTTTGCCAGGGCTTTGTTTTGTAGGGCTTGGCTCTGCAAGGTCTTGAGTTCTGATCCAGAGAAGCGTTTAAGTGTACTCTTGATTTGAAACTGGCTAGAATACACTTAGTACAAGCCACAATTACTGGCACCTTGTGGACTGATTCAATTGCCATGTTCATACACATCCTTCAACTCAAATCTACTGGAATTTGTCTTAAATGTTATTTGTACCTGTCATGCTAAAGAATTTAGCTAGAACCTCACTGTGTTTAACTACCAGAAACTGAAAAGCACGTGCGACTTTTTCCCCAGAAGCCTTAGTGATAGATTTGAATCTTAATGGAAATTATAATCTCCAGTACCATCATTCAGGTTTTTTTTTCTCACAAGCTGTCTTTTCACTGACTGCTTAATGCAGATTTTCATAAGTCTTGTAATGACATCTACATTTTAATATGCATATTAAGATAAAACCCTGCAAAACACAATTTGTATTAAAATCTGTAAGTTTTATTCAAGAGGCATTTTAGAGTAATTTACAGCTGACCTGCAAGACTAATAATAAAATGCATTTTTAAGTTGACTGTCGCTCAGTTTAGAAAATCAGGTGCTTGTAATATGTGTGTGGTTTAAGTATAATTTTTAATTCTTTACATGACATCAAATGAACACCCCAAGTTACTAAGCAATGCTTAAGCTATAGCTTAAATGTGATCAAACGTTCTTTGATAGACATTAAAATTCTGTTAAGTTAATGTCTGAATGATCATATAGCAATTATTGTGGTAGGTTCTGTAGTAATTCAAGACCATATACACACATGAATCTACCTGTTATGCAGTTTGGAAAAGAGGAGAAGTATAGGTTTTTTTCTTTATGAAACAGCAAATACTTTTCTGAGAGGCAAACTGAGCAATCACAGAGGCAGTAAGATGGCTGGGGTAGAGCATTTTTGACTTCCATTAATTTGCTTTCTGAATTTTTTCTCTTCACTGGTATAATCCAAAACCAACCCAAGCTTTCTTCAAAGAGAATGTGTAATACAGGGGGGTTGATACTGTCACAAGTTATTTTACTCTTCTCAGTAGACACCTGGCTGCATATAAAGAGAAGGATGGTCTTATGCTGATACTCATGCATCCCCTAGTGCATGACTACTTTTCTTTGCTCGGTCAAGGTGCAAGACTGAAAGAGCCATGCTGCTTGCCTTGCTGGTGCTTGGCTGACATCACTTGCAGAATGAAATAAGAAAAGAAAGAGAGGCTGGGGGAAGAGAGAGAGGAAGACTTGGTGTTTTAAACGGAAATTTCAGACCCCTTAGCCAGAGCACTAGTAGTTGTTTCAGCTGCAGTAGTGCAGCTTTGAAGTAGTGAGATTTTTATTATAGATGTGAATATTTTTCTCCTGAGTTTGGTTTGACTAAATTGGTACCTGCTTAACCTTAGGGTAGGCTTTCAGGGGTGCCGCAATGCCTACCATAAGATAGAATGTAATTCTAGTTTTATGGGTTTGCATTGCAATTACCCACCATCCTCAGGCAATCATGTTTCTCAGGTATGCCACAAGAACAGATATTTCCTGGACTGATTCTTTCCTTTTTCAAAACCAGATTTTCTCTGATGCAGATAAAACTCATATCAAGTAATAGCTATTACAGATGTACTTTCTGATGCTTCACTTGTTAGTGGTCCTGCTATAAACAGCCAAAAGATATTACGTATATTGTAGATATGATATAACATTGAAACATTGGGGAAGCAGCACTGCAAAAGTGCCTTTTGAAAGTGCTTTTTTTTCCTTTTTGATTTGTTATTTGGTTTGTAATTTTTTGTCTATCTCTTCCTCTTCACCATGCTTTGCAGTGAAGAAAACAAAAATGGGTGAAGGACATAATTTATACATTTTAGCTATCTTGGAGTTCTAGTTCTGTGCATGTCCAATGAAGTTAATGAGCATTGCATAGCTAAGTAGTAGGCAACAGTCTGGAAATTTTGAGCAAATGTGTCAAATGGCTTCAGAAAGTCTCCCACATTACAAGAGTTAAAAGAGTTGTGAATCAGCCCCTAGTCTTGCTGAGATGGTTGTTGAAAGAAATGGACTGAAGGGCTTCATTGGCCGGTATGTATATCAATATGTATGCACATGTACACATGCACACATATACATGTAATGTATTTTAATATATAATATAGTAATTTAGAAATACAAGATAATAGTATATACATGATACACATTTTACAGCTAGTTCTGTCCAGTCCTTTCCTTCTGCTTTTATAATGACCATAAGCCATTATAGGGCAGTGTTCAAGCAAAATGCTTACTCATCAAACAATAAGCAATTAGCAAGCAGGAAACATAAAGCAGAAAAAAATAATTAGTCGAAGTGAAGTATGGTGACATATTAATTTTGCTGTTGTTAACAAGTTGATGGATAGATAGTAAATTTTGAAATCATCATCTGACAATAGGTCATGATTTTGAGTATGAATGGCACCAAGCCTTGATGAATTTAGCTAGGATTTCTAAAGGTAAACAAAATAGCCTATTGGCCTAAGGACGTTATCAAATTATTCATATGAGCTCATTATTGACAGAGCATTTTGAAGTGAGCTGTTTCCTTAAGCAATGTGTAATAAATCAAACCCTGTTCTGTTTAAGGATTTGCTTTTATTTAACTAAAAAAAGCCATTTGCAGTTATGTGAAGCTTGTCTTCAGAAGGCAATGCCTTTCTTGGGATGTCTCAGTGCTTGTTGCATTCATAGTATTGCTCAAAATGCAAGGGCAAAGTTTTGTGCAGATATTTTGTGGGATGAGAGAGTTTGTCCATGTGACTTCTCTACTGCTGCTTTCACTTTGATCTTGGTGTACTGTCCATAGAATACATACTTGTATATACATAGAATACCTACACTTGTAGCCTGTGTGAGCTGGTACAGGCAGGATGCAGGAACAACCACAAAACCATGGATGAAATGCAAAGAATAAATTTATTTTTGTTGCCTTGCTAACCAGGGGATCTCTGAAGCAATAGCTGGGCAGAGGCACACAAGCCAGGGACGCAGGCACTGCAGAGTTTGTGGCACGCTAGAGAATCACCAAACCTGCTGTTTTCACCTGTATTTCAAGGTTTCACACAGGCGTAGTTTACCACTGCGCTTTGATCTTTCCCACAGCAGGGCAGGAATCCTCAAGCATGTTTTTTCAGCAGGGTGTCTAAGTTTATCACAGGCCTATGTTATCTGAACACAGATGTTGTATTTGTCAAACACACAAGACTAAACAACAATTAGTATGATATATGTGTTTTTCAAGATCTCAGCTTCAAGTCACTTGAGCACATTTACAATCCTTGTCACCAATCTTCTGTTATTTTCCCACGTAGCCTCTCCTAGCCCAGTGAAGTGACACATCTGTTTCCCACAGCTGCGCAGAACACATCTTCCAACAAATGGGGACATCTGAGGAAATTGTAGGATTGTTGTTTGGGCAGAGAGTGTTTCTTATCCTGTACCTCTGTCATAAATCTGTCCAGTGATGATGTAGTTTCTCACCACTTCATTTCAGTGAATGTTTTGTGTCCTCCAGGTGATTCATTTTTTGCTAACCTGGTGCCTAGAGAATACTCAGAGTGAAAGTGCACATACATGTTACAGTACAGCCTATGGATTGCAGTTCAGTTTCCTTATTCTGAATGTGTATACACTGTAAAGTTTGCATTGTGATAATGATTGAACCAGTACGGACCATAACTAATATCATGATCTTTGCTGCTCTGCTGGGTTTTTAAGCTACGATTCACATCACTGTGTACTGGTAGCCACATCTAAGCCAGGTAATGTAATGAATGTAATGCTGGCTGTACATCATATTGTCCCATGGACTGCTCTTCTTCTACATGCAACAGTTCAGCAACTGTAATGTGACTTTATTTTTTTATTTTTACTTGAGGTCATAGAACAGCTCAGTTTGGTATAATTCAGTGTAACTGAAGCATTTAAATGTCTGCAAATCAAAGCTAGCTTTAATTCTGGATTTTGAGGTGTGCAAATACATTTATGGAATAATAGTAAGAGATAATCCTGTAAGTATCCAGACTGTATTTCTGACTTGCAGGAGAAAGCACTATAAACATGATGAAACACTGATGAACATTTGAAATTATGTCCCTTTTTACACTTTCAGAAGATAACACAGGGGTCTGTCCCTGAGCTCATCAGATTTTGATATTTGGCTGTTTTCTAGTTTATGTGGACATATGTTTCATAATGTGTCATCTTGTTTAGCTTTATATAAATGTTTCTCATGAATAGCAGTGGTGTGTGGGCACATACAAAACCCATGTTCAGTTGTGCTCCTTCAGATGCTTTTTCTCATTAATATATTTTGTTCAGTGGCTGGTCTTGTTGACTGTGGTATCTGCTATTCAGATAAGTTTAGTATTGTAAGTAAGTATCACTTAGGAGACTTTGTCAGAGCTCTGCTTAGAAGTTAAGTCTGTAATTCAGAGGGATTCATGTTTTGAGAGTAAACAGAATATATAGATGCAAAGGGTAACCTGTATTCAAGCAGATAGTGGGAAGGAGGGCAAGGAAGCTTTGCTGAACACAAGTTCAGATCTATAAGATTGTCACTTGTTTGTGCATAATTCTTTTTTTAATAGCACTCCCATTTAGTGTGTTGTAGCTTAAATGCTACTTAACTGCTTTTCTCTCTCCTGCCTCCTCTGTCCTTCTCTCTGTATTTGATAAAGATGGCAGTTACTGGGGTCACTATCCATGTGTGGTAAATGCATAATGATCTCCCTAGGAAAATGATGCACTCATTTATTGGGCTTAGGGTTTCACAATTAAAGCATACTTTTATTTTTTCATAAACCCTTGTTAATTCTTGCTTTTACATTGTACTCCACTCTGTTTGAAATTGCTGAATTCTGTTTTGTGTGGTGGTATTAGGGTACAATTTACACATTTAGTGTTACAGAAGCAAAACGAACTAAAACAGCAAAGAAATTCCATGTCTGTTTCTGAAGCATTTTTTCCCTTTAATTTTTTTTGTGTTGCTGGTATGCTATCAAAAATGTAAAAAAAAAAAAGTAATTTTCAATATTACAATGCTTGTAAAGTACTCATTCTTACTCTCATTGCCAAATGCTGCTAATATGTTTGCATTCAGTATATTAAATTTAATGCAAGTTAGGCATTTGTGTTCTTTTTTAAAAAATCTATTAAATGAAAACATTTATTTACCAAAATACAAATTTTGATGCCTTCATTTTATGTATGTGTGTTCAGAAATTTTAGCTATGTGCTCTGTTCTGCTCTGAAAAATGTAGTCAGCATGGTCACAGGCAAATGTTTGCTAGGACTAGAAAGTTGTTTTCATTTTGCTGTTCCATGTGGCTGAGGAGGTGTTCTTCAGGAGAGCTTGGTGGTGAATAGTGAGCTGCTGAGGCATGGCTCTGTAATAATCATGTAACTTTTGGCCCTTAGAAGCCCAGAGTAAAGTAGTGGTCCTGTAACTTTGAGGCAGCAGTTGTGTTGCGTAAAAGGCTCAGTTTAGGCTGTGCTGAATGCATTTCTGCAGGCGGTCTTGCAGTTGTGTGGGCATATCTACAGCATGTTGTGAATATATCATAGACAGAGAATTAATCTTTAATTGCGTTAGTATTCTCATGCCCACCTGATTTCCAGTGATTTGTGTTCCTTATGGAAATGCTTAAATAAAGAACTTAGTATCTGAATTGGCTGATGAATTATTAGCTGTAACTTCCCATTGGAGTCAGCACGATTTCTCAGGTGCTGCAACTGTCACAGCATGATGGTAGAGTCATTTTGGGGATCTGTAATGTAGCGGTGTAGCAGCTCTCACTAGAATGATGCCAACTGAGGAGGAAGTAACTTGAAAGGAGATAATTAGCGTTAATGAAGATATCAGACACTGGCAGACATTGACTGGGAGTCACAATGCATATTCGGAGACCCCCCTTCTTTCATCTCATGTCTCGGAGCTCTCAGGTGTAACAGCTATAATTATTACTTAATTATATAAATTTAATAAAAACCAACAACAAAAACCACACAACTATTGAGTAACACTTAATTAGAGCAGCATTTTATTTTAAAGACTCTTTGATGTACTCTTATTGTCTGAAATCTCTGTGCATGTATTATATATTATTAATCCCCATTATGTCTCAAAAATGGAAAATTTTGGGTTTTTTTTCTAGGGCAGAAATCTAACAACAGGAGAGCTTGGATTCTTCCCAAGTGATGCGGTAAAGCCTAGCCCATGTGTAAGTACAGTTGTTTAATTCTGTTTGTCATCTTACAGGAACACTGCCGAGTTCATACCATTGCTTTATTAATCTTGCCTTTAAGAAAATCATATTGTTTCTAGTTCCTTTGTGTTTTCATGGTATGTTCAGTATTGCTTAAAATACAGCATTCTAATACTTTTGGTTATCAGATGTAAATAGCACATGTCAAGAAAGGGTGTTCAAGAGCAGATTTAGCTTCTGCAATATTAATAAATTGAACTGTCTAAAGAGTTTCCAGAGTATAGAATAAACACATTTTGTGTAAAAATGCACTTTCTTCCTTCCCCAGCAGTAAGGTGGGAATGCTGTGTTTCTAATCTATTCCCCAGTCACTTTGGGTTAGAGAGAGGGATTACACCGTAAGTAGTGAGTTTAAAAATGTGTGAGAGTAAAACTAATATAAAACTTTGAATTCAGACTGCTCAATAAATTTTCTCCTCTCTGTAGTTTCTTACCTGTCTTTATTTCAAACAAGGGTGTTCTCAATCTAGAAAAGTTCAGGATAACAATAAGAAAAAATATTTTATAACATGTACTCAAGAGTTTTTTATGCAGATGTTATGAGACATTAATATACTGTGTACTTTTACTTCATTCTCTGCCCTCTGTAACACTGCATCAGATTACCGCATGTCCCTTTGTTGAGATTGACGTAAACCCATAAAACCAGTGATCAATCTAACCCAAATCTAACCCAATCATTCCTCAGTTTGCTTTAAGACAGCTTTAACTTATTTAACTTGATTCACAACAGTTTGACTTATTAATAGAATTGCTTTAATCACAGCAATCAAGATATGCCACTTAAATGGTTTATAAGTAGGTGGAATCAGCTGTTAGTAGCTGCATTTTGATATGCCCTTAGGGCTTATATTGTGCCTTGGTTTCTAAAACAAATCTACATCTGATCCTAAAGCATATAAACACATTAGTGTATATTGGGACAGCTTTAGTACCCTATATTTTCAGAATTTTATTTGAAGAGGGATGCAGAGAGTATTTGTAGGTACAAGGTGTGTTAGATTGGGTGAGAGAACAGATCTGGAATGAAGATGAACAAATTATATGAACTTGTCTTTCTTTCCTCCACCCCTTGCTTATTGTAAAAGTTGTGGTTTTCCTGTGCCATGGTGTCGCTGTCTTGGATGCGGGCAGTACCTGCTATGTATGGGCAATAGGTTCTTGGTATACTGTCATTGACAGCAACTGTTTGCAGCATTTTAGGAACCACCACTATAATTTAAAGTGGAGGCAGCAGGATATCCAAAGTTAGGAAAAAGTCTGCTGGGGTGTTGTGAAGATTGCTGTCTTGTGATAAAGCTTTCTGATAAATTTAGGAATATGCTGTTTAGAGGAGTATTGAAAATAAAACAGTTTTACAAGATGAATAAATATCATTCATGAAATGTTACCAACTTGTGTTAAGATCAGAACAAAAAGATAAATTGATGCTTCACTGCTGTTAACTTGGAAGGATGAAATATAAACATCTTATTATGATAAATGATGCAGTTAAACATACTGAAACATCGATCAGGTTTTAAACATGCTATAACTTTTTCTGTTACGAAGTTTAACAGTCTTTACAACCAGCTGATATAAAAATGCCCAGAAACAGCATAAAATACATACATCAAAAGACTTTAGGAATTAATATGGAATGAAAAACTGCTGAGCTCCAGAATATCTATATTCCAGACTTTTCACAGATGTACCTATAAATAATTTTTTCCTCTTTGCAATAAGTAGTATATTTCAGCAGACATTTTCTGCACCATATGAGTAATGTCTGTTTCTTCCTAGCATTCTTCCAGTTTTCTCATTTCTGTAGAGTCATTGGATACATAGCACAGTATGAGCCAACAGCTTCTGGAGTAACATTTGATTTTACTGTATTTCATGACAATGAACAACACTTGTTTTTACATATATGTATATATATAAAACCACAAATTTTTATATATATATAAACACACACATATATATATATAAAAATCTGTCAATTCAAAATTAATGAAAAGGACTACTCATCTATTGTTCAACTGCTCTGAAGGGTGGACTTAAACCACCTTTGAATTTTTATATCCTTTTGAGCATAGTAGGACTACTTGACAAATTAAGAATGCTTATTTTTTTAACTATTCTTTCTTCTCCTGCTGCTGATGGAATGCATGTTATTTAGTTAGTCCTATGGGGGATAATACAAATCATTACGGATGCAGTTCTTCTGTAGATGAAATGTATTATTGAAATATCTCGCAGAACATACATCCAGTACAAGAGTTCACCAAGTCAAATACAAAGGTATGAGTGATGTCACAGAATACAATCTGTGGATTATCCTCAACTCTCTCAGAAGATTATATACTATGTTTCCGAGTAGACAATCTTTCTAAGGCCATACCTGAAGTGAATTTTATACGTTACTGTAAATTTGTTGCACATTTTAGTGATACTTTCCAACAATATGTAGCATTGGGCTGTTTTATGTATGGAATTTGAATGTAGGCACTTTCAGAAAAACTTCTACCAGTTCTACTAAGTAAAAAAATCTGTCACAGCAGCAAAGAGTTAAAATAATCTGTGCTACTTTCAGAGTGGTATGGAATATTTGTCTCTTAATATAACTTCCTTCAAAAGAAAATAGACTTGCAGACTAACTAGATCTGTTTCTTTTAACTTGTTTCATCTGGATATTGACAATTCGATCAATCCTATCTAATTTGTGTTGACTAGAAAAAAAATGTTGATCCTTATTCTTTTGTATCTTTTCATGTCGTAGGTTCCTAAACCAGTAGACTACTCTTCACAGTTGTGGTGAGTCCTTGTCTAGTCTTACAAGAATCTCTTTGAAAGAAGCGTAGACATAGCAAGACAACTATGTTTATTACAATTCAATTTATATTATTTTAACCTTTCTAGGCTTCTGAAGAAGGCATTGTGTAATGGTTTGGGAAAGAAACACCATGCATTGCTTAAAAGCATTTCTGATGGAATAAAATGCTTAATGATTTTGACATCTGGTTTGCAAATCTGTAGCTCTGCAGCCTTAGTCACAGAGGTCTGAAATAGAATAATAAGAGATGAGTATAATATGAAGTGTGCAAGTAAATCTTACATGTTAAGAGAAAAAAGAGAAGGAATAATGTTAAATACTGCATTTCTGTTACAAAAAAAAAAAGACAAGAGTGTAGAGATATAAAAGGACAATGTATCAAAACTACAGCCAGTGCTGGTCTGGAGCTTATGTAGTGTGTGAACTCTTTACTGTAGTTCAGCTTGCTTCGCAAAAGGACATGGTGATTCTGAGAGAACCCAATAAGCACCACTTGTCGTCTTTCACTGGTTTTATGCTTTGTCATAAACTTCAAAATGCATGTTCACTGTTGTGTTTCATAAAATAACTGCTTTTCACTTAAAGCTCCCTTCTGACTGGTAGTGATCTATTAGTATGAAGTTTTACATAGTAGTGGTCTGTGTTGTTGACTGCCTTCAGACTACTTTCTAAAATTATAAACTAAGCATGATTTCTGTGGATGCTAGGTCAGTTTCCTCAATTCATAGTTTAACCTCTAGTTTTGCAAGTAAATGTCTGCTGACAGCCTCTCAAGAAGTCCCACCCAAACCAGCAAGGCAGAGCAAGGGCACAAATCTACTTAGGCAGTCAGGCTGCAGAATCAGTGACTGAAATTTGTGTTAGCTTTCAACTCTTAGCATCAGCTCTTTTGAATTTGGACATACGAGGCTGATTAATTTTTTTTTTTTTTTGCTCGTGAATGTTTAGTCTACCCATTACACTTTAGTCTTTAGAGGTTATGAATAATTATGAAACCAAATAAAATAGTGTGTTTGTATAAATACCAAATTTTTGTATAGATTTTTTTTGACCTAGTATACTACTGGTGGCTTATTCTGCACTCTGGTAAGATACATCCTGCTAGAACTTGGGGAGGTTCAAAAGTTCTGGGTCACTGCTTTATTGTTTCCCTTGCAACACATGATTCAGAAAAACATTCGGTTTTATGAGGTATTCAAGCCAGCAGAAATTCAGCTAATGCCCAGGCTCGAGTACTTTCCTTAGAAGACATTGTATTCAACATGTGCTCAAGTACTTTTATAATTAAGGCTTCCCCCCCCCGCCCTCAGCGTGGAATTTTTTCACGCTTTATTCTTCATTCAAAGATCTGGAAGTGGTATTCAGTTGCAACTCATGTATTTTTAGATCCCCATCATATGTAAAATACTGGGATGACTCTGCATTGCATATTTGACAGAGGTTTCTGTGTAAATTTAAAAAAATCATAGCCAGTTTTTATTGTTCTCTGTTACAGGTTTGCAGGAGCAATGGAAAGATTGCAAGCAGAGAGTGAACTTATTAACAGAGTAAATAGCACTTACCTGGTGCGGCACAGGACCAAAGAGTCAGGAGAATATGCAATTAGTATTAAGTAAGTGGAATAAGATCTCCTACAGAAAGTTTTCTGGTTCTCATTTATGTCTAGATAATATTTGAAATCAGTGAGGAAAATAAAAACCTGTTTCAATTTATATAATCATAAACAGCCTTGAAGAGAGTTAATATAAGAAAACTGAAGTTGCTGACAAAAATACCCGGGATTTTTAGTAGGAAGTTAGCAGTGGTTTTGTAATGCTGGTGTAGCAAATGGGTCTACAAAAACAATGAGCTAGTGTATTGGGTAAGAGTAAGCGTTTGGCGTGTAATGTCATCTGCTTCTCTGAAGTGAATGTTTCATTGACGTCAGGGAGAACTTGTTGAAGCTCTTTGCATCTCAAGACATTTCAGTAAAATGGGGTTCATAAATTCTGTGGATGCAAATTATTGTGAGGGTCTTGTTTCCTTGAATATACAAGTAAGAAATAAATAGGAATTTCGAATTAGAATGAGCAGTTAGTTGTGATTTTTTTTTTTCTGAATACAGATTACCTCTTCAGCTGTACTTTAATAAATATATTTGGTTAATTAGATGTCAACTTTATTTTGGCACAGATATACATTTTGTCTTAAGAATTTATTCGTGTGGTGTTATTTGGGCATGCCCTCAGGTAATTATTGATTGAATCTGATTAAAAGCACATTTATATTCATAAGTTATTCATTGCCCACAGGTACAATAACGAAGTGAAACACATCAAGATTTTAACAAGAGATGGCTTTTTCCACATTGCAGAAAACAGAAAATTTAAAAATTTAATGGTAAGCGTTGATTAGATTTTTAACACTGCGTGATTTTCGATGTAGCTGTTGCTGTTAGTGAGAGCCACTTGAGTTTGTGAAATTACAGAAGGCTGTGAGAGTGAGAGATTTGATTTGCATCCATACTTGCTAACAGGATAATTTTTTATATTTATGGTTTATGCTCCAAGTGATGGTAGTATGTGCTTAAAACTACATATTTATATTCAGGACTGGACTGTGTCCCTTGCAGTGATGCGGAAGAGAGGAGGGATTTGAATCCCATGCATCAGCAGGCTATGGAGCTAGGCTGAGTCCTGTAAGAATTTGATGTCTGTGGAAATCTTTGCCTATATAGTAATGATCCCTAAAAGTAGCAAGGTGAAGGTTCCTTGCCAGCCCAGCACATATATAGGTGTACTGCTGAACATGGTGCCTATTGATGTGTAAGTTCAGAGGGAGAACGACATAAGGTGCAGTTGTGTCAGAGAGTCCAGAAAAACTCAGGAGAGACAGGTCTTCTTGGTCCTGGTGCACCAGGTGAAGAAAAGCAGCTAGAGAATGGGGCTGGCTAAACTGTTAATAACACAGGGATCCTTGTTGGAATAATAGTAAATTGGAGTAATTATCGACTAGTCTAAATTAAAGCAACTGTGTGGCTACTTCGAACTTATACTCTGTGTCAGCAAGCCACTCGTTAGCAAACTATAGTAGTAACACGCAAAGAATAGGCTTTCTCATTACATTTCACTCCAACTATAGGCATAGTTCATTCCCAGAAGTAAGAGTTTGATGTTATAACTGCCCATATCAGTGAGTTTTCAACATACTGGGAAGAAATTCCTTTTATTGAACTTTAATTTGGAAGAATTTCTCGGTAGCTTGTTTTGCTCACACAAGACTCATTATTACAAGGTGTCTGAATAAATTACCTTAGCACTTTTGTAAAATGCTACTGCTTAAGCATTTCCAGATGCATTGTTAAAGGAAGCTTGTTCAATGTATTATATTCAGTGCAATCAATTGGATTAAAACTTATGCTGCAGCCTTCCTGCATGTATATTCAAGTACTCTAAAAGGATAAATAAAAATTAAGGACAGTGCAAAACAAGACTAGGGAGAGATGCTTTAAAACCAGGAAGCCTTAGAAATTAATCTAACCAGTGATACTCTGTAAAGCAAGAAAATCCTACAAGTGGTAAAAAAAATAAAGCAGAAATCTATGCTTTGCCTAATCCTGTTTGAAGTAAGTGCTCATTAGAATGGGGAGAACATGAATTTCCTGATGAAGAATGCATGAAGCTGTTTCTGTACTCTGATGTCCTCATTTGACACTTAAAAACCAGTGAAGGGTTTGGGCTGGAGACTCTTGAGATCTTATCATTGGTAGCAACAGAAATCATGGCATTCCTCAAATGCATGAAGGAAGTGGCTATTTAGTCTGCAAACACTACAAATGATTCACTGGAAACTGAAGAGAACATATGAGTGCTCTCAGGATCTTGACAGAGCATGTGAGCAGGAGTCATATCTTCTTATGGCAATGATGCAGACTAATGCACTGATGTAGGTTTCAAAATAGAGCTGAATGATCAGAGATATAAGTACAGGACACAAACTTGGATGAATAAGAAACAAAAGGAATATGCTTTGTGTCAAAGAATTGAGAGGACAGAAGGCATTTCTAGTGTAAAGGCCTCATCACTACCAATTTAGCCTTGCCTAACATTCGGTTAGGAAAAAGTAATTTCATAACTCAGTTTTAGGGTATTATGAGGTCTGCCCTTGAGAGTTAAATAGACAAATTATAGTGTAAGTACTGCTTTGTTCTGGGTAGATGCAAGAGAGAAAGTAACAGTGCCTGAAAGAAGAAAGGAGCAACAGTAGTCAGAGTAGAACTGGGAGCAAAAGAGAGACAAAGCCAGCAGCCATGGAAACTTAAAGTAGTGATCTTCAGTGACACAATGTTCTGTACTACTTTGGAGGTGACAAAAGTAGAACAGCTCTTGTACATATTTTCGTAGTACATTTGAAAAACTTTCACAAGAGGAATTAAAATGTGCTGAGTGTGTAAACCAGGCCAAGGTGCAGTGAAAGGTCAGCTCTGCTGCTGATGTGAATCATGGTTGTGTGATCCTGAGGATCCCCATCCACGCTGGCAGGGGGTGCTTACCTTTCTTGTCTGTTTGTAAGCTTGCTACCGCGATGTGTGCAATTAATGTTTTAGAGGCCAGTTGTTAGTCAACTGTTTCCTTGGAAGAATGGTATTAAAAACTAAGCTTTTAAAAGCAGTGAATCTTTATGACCCAAAGCAATTTTTTTTTCTCAGTTTGGAACCATTTTACTTATTTTGCCAACAAATAAAATCTGTCCAGTTGAAATTCTTACTATCTTTACCAAACAGCATAATTCTTATAGACTTATGTGGTGCAAAAAGTTAACAAAAGTTTCATGCTAATTATTTTTCCATTTATCCAGAAATCCTACTCTGAATGCTGCTTATTTACAAACTACTCTCTCTGTTGTCTTGATAATTTGAATGTCTGGGTACTTGATGATGATGTGATGGAAAATTTGTTTGCTGATGTAGCTTGTGTGCTGTGCTGATATTGGACAACAAAGCCCAAACAGTTCTTAGTCTCCTGGCCTTTCTGCTTACTTGGAGGGCCTGGCAAGTCTGTGGCTATGAACTGTTAAAAGCAGGTTTAGATTTTATTTAGCTTTGGACTCTGCCTTAAAAGCTGTTTGAGAGACATGGAAGAGCTCACAGTGTGGGGAGTGAAGTGATCCAGAGTTCAGAAGATGATCTTCAGACTGTTATCAAGACCTTATGGTTTTATGCACTAGATCTTGGACTAAATAGGTAGAGTAATTTAGTTTGACTGGAAAAATATATCACTGATGTAGGCTGTTATAGCCTAGTAATTTTTTTTTTTTTTTTTTTTTTAAACTAGAAGGAAATGATTGAGCACAGTACTATTTTCTTATTTTGACCTAAGCTTGGCTTTTGGAAATCTAAATGCAAATATGTAGAATGGAATGACTGAATTACTGGTAGGAGTGAGGGGTTTACAGTAAATACATTGCTTTGTGCTTGCATTTCTGAAGAGTGACATCCCACAGTTGAAGTATCATTAATGAAATGAAATACATTGGCTTTGAATTGACTGGTCACTTTTAATTTTATTCTAGACTCTGTGTACAAGCTGTGTGATATTGACATTATTAGGGCTAATTCAAAGGTGAGAGACAATGGCAGGGGTTGAAGATAGCAAAGGAGTACCACAAGCTGTCAGTATTTTGATGGGTGTTGTCTTCTTTAGAGTAGAAACTAAAATAACTTATCTCCTTAGTTACATAAACTATTTGAGCCAGTTTTTTTATTTTTTCATATATACGTGTGTGTATATAAAATTTGTGCATATATAAAAAATCTGTCTGTGTGTATATGTGTGTGCATATGTATGTCTACATATATTCATGTGTATACACACATACAGAGACTAATTTTGGGATTGGACCCAAGGAGAATGTGAAATGCTGGATTTTTCAGTCAGTGTGCACTATCTGGAAAAAACAAAACAAAAAAAACCCAACAAAAACCCCTACGAAATCCCACCTGCCAAATTTTAATGGCAGAGCCTTGAAATTTTACATGGTCTGTGTATCTGCACATGAAATTGTTGTTGACTTACATGCAAGTCTTGTGCTTTATTTTGGATCTGTGTACTTACAAATGCATTTGTGGATAAACATTACCTGTCATTGCAAAAGAAATTTGAGAAAACAAGGGGGTTACTCTTACATAATAAACAAGCAGTGGACCTTGCCTTCTGCCTGAAAAGCAAATACATGCTTAGCCTGGCTCAAATGAATAATAAGTGTTGCCTCTGACAATGAAGTTTTACTTAAAAAAAAACCCCAACAAAAACCAGTTAAGTGTCAGTGTAAAAGCAGTCAATATTTAGGGTACTTGACTTTTTAGAAATAAACATGTACTGTGGGATGTTGTACTATCGAAGGTTACTTGTATGATAGAACTGTCATTGACTGTGCACCAGAATGTTGAAAAGGATGTGATTTCAATTTCCCATGACATAGTATTTTTCCTTTCTGAAAGGAACTTGTAGAATACTATAAACACCACTCCCTCAAAGAAGGCTTTCGAAGTTTGGATACTACTCTTCAATTTCCATACAAAGAATCTGAAAACTCAGTGGGACAAAGGAGTAACAGAACAGGTGGCAACTGTGAGTATAATAAATTTTTGTATATTATTTTCTTTCATATAAATATGAAAAGGACAAGGTACTTGGAATATCTTCATTTTCCATTTTTGAACATATAACCAATTATTATGGTAGTGCTTTTAGCTAGGATTTTTTCAAGCTTAGCAGATAAAGATCTGCCAGGAAGTTTATGAACATGTCTAGCAAGTTTGTCTTGCTGCCAAACTTAAAATCTCCCTGGTATTCAAAAATCTATTAGGCATGCTGGTGGGAGATTAAACTGCATCCTGCCTTCAGACATTTGCATACGTGCAACTACAAGTGTTAGTAATATCTGTGACAATTTCTAATCCTTAAAAAGGGATTTAAATAAATCAGTGCAGCCATATGAAGTAGCATCTCAGTAATACCACATACATTTCTCAAAAATTCCGTTAGATTTACTGTATTGCAATTATTTTTATGCCTACCTTTTAACCTTAAAGGTTTATTATAGGCCTCTAAGCTTCTAAAAGCTAATGAACTACTGTATGATGTAAAGAGTAGTTAAAAAGTTTTGAAGTTTAGAATGAGCTGAGAAGATTAACAATGCATGTAGTATCCTTCATTTAACCTATTACAATTTAAGTAGAAGTTAGCATAAATTTTAGGACATGTACAAGTTCAGTGTTGATGATAAAAACTACCATATGGGTGGCCTCTGGAAACTATATGTTTATGTCAAAGAGAAAATATTAAATTTGCAGTTCTGCAGACAGTGGCTGTATCTTTGTACTGCAACAGATAATAAGAGGAAAATAAAAATTAATGGGGCTTTTAACAATATGAAGTCTGCCGTGAAAGACCATAGAGTCCAGTCTAGTCTTTGTGATCATTTGCTGTGTTTGGGAGCTTTTCTTTTTCTTGCTTGTTCCATAACATTTCTGTAACTTGGGAGACTTTCTTCCTGTTGTAATTAAAATGAATCAAATTCAGGACAGATGATTGTAAGAAACCAGTGTGTCTTTGTGCATTTCATTTACTCTGTCTCCCAGTTTCTCTTTATTCCTTCCATTTCTGTTTTCTTTCACTGCTTTCCAGGAGTTCTGCCAGTTGTCTCCCTCCTATGCTGTATCTCAGTACGTCTCTGGTTTTAGTGAATTTATCTGTCATGTCCTTTCTTTTACCTTTAGCTTGCTATCTCCCTTTTATTCTCTCTTGTCATCTCTTGTACTTTCCTCATCCCTTGCCTCCTCACAGCATTGAGGCTTTAATTATTGAGAGGGTATGCCCTGTTTAATTTACTTTGCATTTCTTTTGTTTATTATTGACTGTGAGCAGAACTAGTTTTTCTTTCCTTGCTTAGGCCAGTTAGAATGCATCTGTGCTGTCCACCAATTTACTAGTCTGTGAGAGCATCAGCTCAATCATTTCAGGCTTTCCAGGATACAAGACTTACGGTACACCCTCACTACCTTCAGTCCACATACAAAATAAAACATTTTTAACAAGATCTTTTAGGCAATATATGGAAGAGCAAGAGAAATGTATGTGGGATGCTCTCATTTTAGTCAAGGGGATGAGAAGGTGCATCTCTGCTATAATAAGTATCAGCCATTTAATATTACAAACTATGCTGGTGGGAACAGGCAGGTTTTGTCTTGGGCCAAACTGATCAAAAAACCCTCTAAGTTCTCGGACTCCTCATATAAAATAAAATAGCTTTCTAGAATTCCCCTAGCTTACCTAGACTGACTCTGGGTGATGCTTTAATTTAATGGATTTGACAGTTTTTTTTTAAGTGTTAGCACGTCCCCAGGAGTGTGGTTTGGTTTTTGTTTTTAGCAGAATTTCCATGATTAACAGCCTATCTGCGAGTCACACTGCTCAATTTTGAAGTTATTCTGTTAGTTTTTACTAAGTTGGAGTTCAAATAACTATATATTTAGGCTGTGTGAACCCTGCTGGGCTGAATTTGGAAAGAAGTTGGTAAACTTTGGGCTGCAGTTTTGTTCAGTAGAGGAAGCAAAAAAAGTCATGGGGCAGTGGTTGGACACTGAGTTTACTTCACAGCTCTCAGTGAGAACTGCCACACGGCTGCTTTTTTGACCTCTTCCCACTTAATCTGAGTGCAAGAAAAACAGTTGTTGAAAGGAAGCTAAAGTCAGCTGAAGAGAGAGAGGGATACTTTCCCATTTTTTTCCAGTTGTGCAACTACTCAGTGTCACATTGACCATATTTTGACAAGCATGGGGCTGAAGCTAGTGAATTCAGTGAAGTTGGAAGCAGATTTTAAGGAGGTTTGGGGTTTCAGTTCAGTACTGATTTTGTGCTCTACTGTTCACATGACTGTATCCGGATTTTTAATGAGGCCATCTTTTGAAAAGACATCAGCTTCTTATTCAGAACAGCTGTTTTTTCACATATTTAATTGACAGAGTAATTGGGAAAAGTATTTCTGAAAAACATGAGTTGAACCATTGTAGACTTTGACAGAGTTGTATACTTTTATCCTGCCAAAGTATTTGAGAGGCTGTGAAATTGCATGGCAATATCAAATTAACTTCACTTTTTAGAACAATATGAGAAAGGATTATATAGATTTTTTTTGAATTATCATGTTTTCATTTACCCATTGAAAGAAAGAAAATCAAGTGACATTTCAGCTTGCTTGTAATTTCTGATATGAGCCCTAATAAATCACCTTGTAACTTCTTAAATTTTCAGAGAATTTGATTGTCCCTTCAGCATCTACTAGATTTTTTTTAGAACAAAAACCTTCATCTTATGGAGATGGGTAATTTGGCCTCCTACTTTAATTAGAACTTTGCTTTTTAGTCTCCTGGTCTTGCAGAAGTCACCCACTGTGTTCTGATATTTATTATACACTTTTAATGTGATTGCAAAAGCTGTCAGATGTCTACTTTTCTCAATATAGAATTTCAAGTTAATTAGGAAGGTTTTTGGGGAAATGGTACATTCTTTCTGCTTAATTTTTCAGTCCTAGGCTTTTCTAGGCATAGTATGATCAAATTTTGTTTTGATACATGGAAAAATACTGATTCTTACATTAGATTAGAGGGGTGTTCGACCGTTTAATGAAATAAAGGCAAAAATGGAAGAAAAGTTAACATTCTTCTGTAGAGTAGTTTTAGGCTCTTTATTCCAATCTGATGATGCACAGCACAATCATATTGAGAAATCTGAGTCTTTATGAAATTTAGATTTTAGTGTATCCTAAATTATGAAGCCAAATACTATTTGAGTGACTGTAGACGAGGAGTTGGTACATTAACCAGTTATATCATGTCATTCTACTACTTAATGCATTAAATGTTTTAAAGTATCTGTTAATAAAGTAGAACAGAGTAGGTGTCACCTCAGCCCTTAAGGAAACAAAGGAACCCAGCCTTTCTCCTTAAAAGCCAACACCAAAACCCTTATTAGTGATGTTTAAAATTAGACCAGTTATCTGTAGAAATCTAGTAGGATTTTCTTGCCCACATAGGTTTATTTGTCCAGAATTTCACATGTAAAACCAAACCTCCAGTTATATCGGACAGAAAAATTCTCAAAAAATAAAAATAATGTATGGACGGGAAAGGACCAGCCACCCCCTATATAGCACCTAATCTCTCTTTATTCTTGCATGCTACTTTTGCATACTGTCATTGTACTGCTATGGAAAAGAAGGCTGTTACGTGCCCATTCTTAGAGACAAATTACTTCAGTCAAGGTGCCCTTTTGGTTTGTGTAACATATTTCCCCATAGAGCTGTCACCTGGGGTTACTAGCTCCAGTATAAAGGAGCTCCTCAGGTAGCCTCATGCATTCTCAGATAATCCAGTTAGTATTAGAGGTGGGGAAAGGATCGTCACTGTGAAGGAAGTTTCTAGTGTGCAAGAGGCCCTGGAATAGGTTTCTTTTGTATTACTTTGAGATGCTAACCTAAACTGCTGTTGGTTTGTGTTGTGGTTTTTTTTTTTTTTGACAAATATCCCATAGTTTGAGTGTTAAACTACAGTATCAGTCCCATTTATTTTATTTATGCTGGTAGTTTCTCTGTCACAAAGGTATTTATTCTCATCCAGGTAAGATGCACAAAACTGTATCATTACATCCACCATGGATTCTTTGTTAATTCCTTGCGTAAAATATTTCTAGTTGTCATTCTTGCAAATAACCATTTTGAAGCAGAATTATTTTGTTTCATGTGTGGTCACAAGAATAAATTCAGAGAAGCAGCTGTATGCAATGAATATAACCCTGCTACATTTTTAAGGAACACTCTTGGTCTTGTCAGTAATTATAGATATTAGGCACAATCTAGAGGCTACATTATCATTTATCCAGTTGAGGATGGAATTCCCTTTCCAAATCACAGCTGGGAGCAAAGATCCCAACTTCATTAGACTTTGTACGTTATATGTCTTCATTGCCTCTTCAGAAGAGGGACAAAATGTGAGAACATGTCAATAAACTGTAGTTCTGTTTGAAGCATTTTTAGTTCATTTTATCTATTTTGTATTTAAAAATATGTTGACCCTCGGTTTGTTGGCAATAGAGCAAGCGCACCTCTAACCTTTCACCTGAGGAAGCTGTTACAGGGACTAGGATGATGTGCTGCTTCTGCCTAGGCCAAACTTATGCTTTTTTGCTTGCTCAAGGGTTTTCTCTCAGGTCAGGGAAAGCTGCAAAGACAAGCAATACTGTTTGGGCCTTAGAGGATGCAGTTTAGCTGTGGAATTCCTATTGATGTTAATGATTATCAGGGCAAAATGCATACTTTTTCCCATGTGTATTATCAGACCCCAGTTCAACTGGTACTTAAATTCCTAATTAAGGGCGTGTGACTAGTCTTCCTGGGCTCAAGAGGAATTCTTAGGTATGCATGAGTTCCTGCTTTTATACTGTTAAGACGTGGGGCACGCAAAATTAAAGAAGAAAAAAAAATTGTTAAATCTGAAAATATTTGCAAGAGTCTGCAGTTTTAAGTTGCTTCTCAGAAACCCTGAATGGGTGTCTTCTTTCTGCTTTACTCT